GCATTGTATGTATGCACGTGAAGGAAAACCTTCAGGATAACTTCTGATTGGTTAATCTCAAGTTTGCATCAGTTGTTCACATGCTTAGTAGCCAAAGTTCGATTTTTATCTCATATTTTGTAATATTAACAGGACTAGAAAACGGTTCCCTTGTTCTGCCAAGGTACTTGGACCTTGTACGTACCTTGCACGGATTGATTTTGTGACGCAGATGTGTTGGCAGACAGAAAACACCCTCGGGCAAATGGAGTCTTCTAGAACATATTACTCCATTAACCGCAATTTATAGCTTTGCTTAAATTGATTATTTTAAAGTTAATGTACCAATTTAAAGTTGGATAATGAAAAAATGTAGAGTTTTTTTTCTTGAACCAGACAAGGTTGACTCATTTAAATATTATATGATCTAATTTAAACTATTTAAAAAGCATTGACTGTGATTGATCATTTGATATTTTGACTTTGTATGTATCTTTCTTGTTTTTACATTAGTTCTTACCTGACATCTTGTTGCTCATTTATATTATATTAGCTTAGTATTATAGCGACCGAACTGTATGGTACCAAGGCCCAAATTTGTTTTGAAAGGTGTTTACCAACTGCACTATTGTCGTCAAAATAAAAGTATGTTTACACGCTGCGATTTGATGTGTATGATTCATATTCTGGCGTATGAAAATTACTGCAACCAATTTTACACATGTGCTGAGATCAGTGATGTTATTTCACACCCCAGAAAGTATTGCACATGACAAATTGCATTTTAAAATATTTTTATTGTTAAAAACATTGAGTTTACTGACCTTGAATTATGCATAATCGATTTTCCTAGTTAGTTTTTTAATTAAAAAGGCTGAACTGTGCCTTTAAATAACTATGACTATGCTCTGACGAAAATGTTTGTAAGTAGTAAAAATTGATATTATGAATGATTGTCACTGGTATTCTTGTAGTTTTGTGAACCTTGCATCATTATAAGTATGTTTGCACTGTGCAAGGCAAAAAGGTGGCTTTATTGACATGATGACTAGTATTTGGTGCGAAATTATTGAATTGCGGCAGTATGCGCAGTCTTTATGCTATTTTTAACCATGATCATTGCAATTATTGACTTTTTCATGCAAACTGGCACGGTACATTTACATAGGAAAGCTTTCGATCCATAAGCTTGTATCATCATTTCCACATACTTACTAACATCCAAGTTTACAAATAGAACTTGAAGCTTTGGCAAATAAATATATACGTAGAAGGAACTCAGTTATAGCCTTTTAGGTGAAATCAGTCGCTAAAAACGAGGATAAAAACATGTAAACATGACTTGTGAATGCAAACAATGCCCAAATGCATAGAAGCATTTTTTTATTCTGATAGTACAACATGTATTTTGTCTGACCTGTTGCCATTTACAAACCTACGTTCACAACAATAACCTTTAAATTGTCAAATCAGAACTTTATAGAAGTACAATATCAATAACGTGCCTAGTTAGCTATATGATTATACAGGGTTCGTACATATCAGAGACTAAATTTTGATCCACACAAAAAGGACGAAATCTATCACTATAGCTTAAAAGAACCTCCTTAAATGAGTAAAATTGCCAAATTTGGTTGCAAAATGTTGTAAAATACGAAAAATATAGGGCTGTGACTCAAAATTTGCTAATTTCACATGGCTATATTTTTCGTATTTTACAACATTTCGCAACCAAACACTGCAATTTTACTAATGATTTTAGAATGCTCTGTTGTTATAATGATAGATTTCGTCTTTCTTGTCTAGATAAAAAATTTGTCGATAGTTGGAATCATCCTTTCATAGTTCAAAATTCAAATGGCGAGTTAGTCAGTATGACGATAAAATGCCACACAATCGTCAGCAGTAATGTGCTCCAAACACTGGTATATTCCTTCATGTACATTTCTTGAGAACACAGTTCTAAGTTCATCTCTCTTAGCCAAAGTTTTTAATTTGCTAAAAACAAGTTCACATTGGTTGAATTCCGGAGAGTACACAGACAGATAAACCACATCGATACCAAGTGAATAAAGCCATTCTGATCAATGGTAACCCCCTTTGTTATGATGAATAGGGCAGTTGTCAAGAACTATAATATCACCATAATGTAAAACTGTCCATTTGGCATACAATTGTGATATGATTGTGATATGATTTGCCCCAGAAATTCAAAAATGATTCTGTAATGCTTGTTGTATCAACTGTGTTTGCACACAGAACTCCTTGTAAACCCATTAGTAAATTGAGGGTAACGTTTGGAGAACTAAGATATCTTCCTATTTCTATGCACAGAATGTTTACTGGAGAATGTCCATAGTTTGGTCTGCTACAGTCTGGCAAACGAAAGCCAGCTTCGTCAAAACATTTAATTTTGCATCGATCCACTCCTGACATATATTTGGGAAAACCTTGACAATAGTCAATATTCTCTGGGATAATTTTTCTTGCTTTGCATGGCACAATCTTTTCCATGACCAGCGAATATTACCGTTATCTAATGGAATTTTGACAGCTCTTCCAATGGCAGATGTCAACGTCCCTCCAGGAATTATGCAGTTGGCATTAACTCATTAAGCAGCAATCCGCCCTTAGATTGGCAAGGGGGGTAACTGCACTGCGCCTGAAACGACACACCATTTTCATTGGCCGATTGCTAAAGACATGCATTTCGCGTTCATTAGCAACAGGCACCTATAAAAACACCCGAATCCGCTCTTTCAAATGAGACCTTGTGCAAGCTTGTACAGTTAATATTGTCCAAGTTACGAGCATTTTAAAACACCTTTTTAAAAGCATTTTAAAAGCATTTTAAAACACCTTAAAAATATGGCTGAAGCAAACTCTCTCCTTCAACACCAAGGTGGTTTTTTAGATCTTTGAATATGGCTTCTGCCAGCTCCTCTCCTTTGCCACCACTTCCATCCGACTTGCTATAAACAGGGTTCACCTCATTGGAATTCTTTCCTTCTATAACTGGACACACCATTGTCACCTGGTTCGAAACTCGATGATTGGTCGATTTGTCAGCACTGACATAATAATGTGGCGGAAGGTCAGTGTTTGGAATATTGGTAAGCAAGTATTCCTTTGTCTCTTGATCAATGAAATGACATGCAACATCAATCATTTGAGGAAATACCATTCTTGAGTGTCCAAAGTCTCCTATATTGGCACCTGCCTGGTGAAGCTCCGCTATCTTGGTTTCGTAGTGAACAGCTGCACACTTGGTTTGCACTACTCGAATAGCAGTTCTGATCTGATTTCTGATGGCTATTCTCTGCCAATTTTTCGGCGCTGCTTGTTCTTTCGCATACTTTGAGGTGTTCTGATGCGTCTTTGTTGAGACAGATAAATATGTCAGCATCCTGTGCTTTAATCTGCGCCATTCACCGCAGCTGCCTTGGCAGTACTTTAAATACTCTGCAGCTGATATTGTTATCCCTGTCACCAATGAATCTCCAGTAGGCTTGTGTTTAAGGGCTGATGACACAATGGGGTTGCTGAGACACAAGTGACAGATCTTACACCGTAACACCCAGGTATCATTCTCTCCAATCAGCTCCATTTCCGGCTCTTCAGACAAGAAATCATCCAATTGCTTCAGACAAGAAATCATCCAATGTAATCCAGTGTTGTTTTATCATGAGTTGCAGATTTTCCTGAGAAAAACGTAGCCAAGGATGTTTGTTGCCCACTTTTGCCTTCAGGCATGGCTTCGGTCGCATTCCCTTCAAGATGGGGGGGACCTTCACAAATTGTAACTGGCTCAGTTAAAAAACTCTTCTCGACATCCATGTCAAAATCCAACACAGAAAGTGAAGATTTCGTCTTTAAAACTTGCTCTGTTTCATTGTTCGGAATACCTTTGTCCTTCTCGATATGATGGCAATCGTTGGTTCTTACTGCATGAACTGTCTGAGTGAACTTTTGGCACAATGTTAGGTTGCAACTTTGGCTTTTTGGTTCTTGAAGAATTTATCATTAATAGATTTATAGATTTAAGAATTTAATTACATTAATTTCATAAAATTTGTTTTCAATTCTATTCATTGCTTCAATCTTCATTGCTACTCTAGTGAGTGGGGGACCTAGTTTAGTGATATACTATAAAAATTACCACAATGAAATTCTACTACTTAATATATCACTTATATCTAATAATCTAAATAACATCTACTGTAACTAGAATTGTTCATTTATAATCAGGTCCCACATACTTTGGGAGGAAAAAGGAGTATAGAAGGCCAAAATATATTAATTTGATACATTAACCTGCTTTCTACAGCTTCAAATTCCGTTATAGCCATCACTGCTTCTGCTGCTCTTGGGTCTTCAATACTAATAATGTCAGCTGAATAGTCATGAAATTTTATGTGGTCACGCATGCTAGAATCATTAAATCTTGCAAATTTAAAGTCCTTTTTTTATCCTTCTGATATTGCTTGAAGCAAAGAAGACATATTGCAGATGGTGTCTTTCCATGCCCAGCAAAAGGTCTTTTAATGCTTTTGGTCACAGATGACTGCTTGGATTTCATTAACAACTGGAATGCTACAAAAAATATTGAACAACTACATATTATTAAATCACTTCAAACTGGCTTTAGAAGGCTAAGACATATATTTTTCATGTTTTTTCAAAATACTATCCTTGATATGTTTAGAACTAAATCAGTCAGACAGTCAGATTTATTGTCAGGGATGTGTGAAATATGAATGTTTCGAACTATTTGAACTTGAATTACTCTACTCTCCTATGATTTATAAATAGATAAATATAAATGGAAACACTATTCTATTGTCTGTAATACTGAATTGAAAATTTGAAATGACATAGAATGATAGATCGAGATACAAAATTAAATCAACATGTATGTACATCTGCAGTACTACAGTGGTAAGAAAAGTTATGCTGTTATGATACCTAATTGTATTTGCAATATTTTGTATTCCACTCATCTACTGCCAAGTTGGCGAGTTTGTTTATGAAATTTGTATGCTACTGTATGTACCTCATTTTTTTATGCACTTCAGGCCTGAGGCCCATGTCTGCTAAGTGAGTAAGTGCTAACAAAGATTCATGTTGGCTTCATGGCGTTTAGGAGTGTCATTGGCTTATTGCAGATTAATGTAATCTATGGGCTATGCCTATGGTATTATATGGCAGTACATTGGAATTTGGAAGTCTCTGGCCAACTGACCCTCCGACTCTGTAGTCCACCTGTTCAGAGATACTACAATAGACTATTAGTTGATATTCATATGTGAACTTTTATGAAAATGATACTGCATATGTTTAAAATGTAATATAATAAATGTTACCTGCATTACCTGCTGCTACTGCACATCTCAAACACAGGACTTTTGAGCCAAAACCTTCCTCTTGGTCCTTGCTCGACTGACTCAAGGCACAAGTGTCTATTGTGTGACAAGGTTTCTGACATATCCTACAAGTATCAGCTCCACTAGTGGCATCTTTACAAGTTACACATTTCAAACCTTAAAAAAATAAGCAAATGAACTATTTTTCGTATTCATTTCTCTATGCTGAAAACAGAAACGTGACAATGCCGATAAATCCATCCCAAAACAACTTCACAACCGTTCAGCCTGAAATCTATGTCATTGAGGTCACCGATTTAGCGTGCAAAGTATTGCTTTTTGTGGCATCAGTGGCAATATTTCAAATTTCCATGAGGATCTATTTTCACCATTTTGATAAAACCGGAAGTACTTTATATAAGCAAAAACTTAATTATATATGTTCGCTGTATTCAGACAAAACTAAGAATAAGTTGTCAAATTTAAAAATGTGCAGGGAACAGATTGATATTTGCAAATAATCTGCACAGATTTTAACATAACTCTTCAAAATGCACAGACAGAAATCAAGATAAAAAATGCTGCACGGGAACGCATTCCCCGTGCACACTGAACTTTTCAGTCTGGACTGGGTGGTCTATAAACTGTCGTAACAAGAAATGGTTTTCTATGTGGCCTAATAACTTCAACAGAAACAGTTTCCAGTTCAGGGGCAACTAGATCACTTCTTATCCCCGAGCCGGCGGCGCGAAGCGCCGTGCGAGGGTACTAATTCCCCCCGGCTATTTACATCCGGGGAAACGAAAGCATTAGCCAAGTCTAAAGTTCATCAAATATCGCAGGTGTGACCAACGAACCTTGAGTGGGTGGTCATCCTCACTGATCTCAAAAATATGGCGGACTGTCATGGATAGCGAACACTGATTGGTCACATTTAAAATTTGTTGTTGTATGACAAATGACGACTTCAACTGACAGATACTTCATGAAAATAATTTGCTTTTTACACTACAGTATTTTGTACGTTTTGCAAAAAACTTTGACAGCTTTCAAAGCAATTTGTTCTATAAAAAGTTTAATAAAACAATTACGGTATCAAATACCAATTGAAAAGATATGGAGCCAAATGAAGAGCGGCAAGGAAACAACAAGAAAGCCGAACGTCTAGCGAAAAGGAGGGAGCGAAGACGACAACGTTTGCTCGAGGAGACTGCTGAGGAAAGAGAAGCTCGCCTGGGAAAGCGTAGAGAAGCATGGAAAAAAAAAGACTGCTGAAGCGAAAGGTAACCAAAGGCTTGTCTTCACAATGCTATGTACCAATGAGACTGTAGCTATACAAGTTGAAGTAGCACATTCGACCCTCTATATTCGACTATTTCTTCACAATTTTCCAATAAAGAGTTTGTCATGACACGCTCAAGTCACTATAACCAGACTGTATTTTATTTATATCAGTTATCACAGCCACAGGCAATTTTATGCTGTCAAATACCGTCTGTTGCAACTAAGGGTGAACAGTTAAAATAACAACAGCATATAAAACATTCTCTATTCTCATTAAAAAGCCTGTAAAAGTTTCCAGTAGGTCTCTAGCCCAACACGTTCAGACCACACAAAGTTTTGTTACTTATTATTGTACACATGGGAAACAACAATTAAGTGTTGTTGTTCTTGACAAACTTTGAAGATTCTAATCATGCGAATGTTGTTATGAGCAACTGTTCATCGTTAGTTGCAAGTGACGGTACAACATACTGTGAACATTTTTCTGACTGTGACCGAATGTGCAACGATATATTTTTCAAAATTGTTATCAATTCCTAAAATTTGTTTATAGTAAAACGACCTGCTCAGCACTCACTACTCATGATGATTTCATTTAGAAATGCAGTTACCAGGAAAGGAACTGATTCTAAAATATGTAAATTTAAAAGCATTGGCTAACAGAATAAAGCGATGTGAAGACAAGGTACAAACTTTTATAGTTGCTATTTGTTATAAAATCCTATAAATGAACTGATTCAATAATTTTGCCTCGAATTTGCATATTCTATGCTGCATGTTTATATTTTATTTTTATAGTATAAAAATAAAATTGTAATACTATGAAATAAAATACATTTCTGTTTATTGACCAGTACTTATTTAATGTCTTCTTCATCCAGTGGTCAGAGTAAATTTCTACTTCTAGCAAGTAAATATTTGACAAGCAGTCTGGAATAAGCACAGGACTTTTAATGCATCAGCTAATTCCAAGTGTGCCCATCCCCCTCGCCCAGCCATTTTCCTGTAAAGCACATCCCAGGGGTTGGGCATTTCCACTCGAACCTTAGCCCCGGCGGGGCATTTGAAATTAATAATTTGGATTCTTGCACTTCACTTGTGGAATTAATATTAGAATGTTAGGGTTTGTAATCCAAGTGAGAATATATACATGTATATATTTTGTAATCCATTTTGTATACATGTACTATACAAATGTATAGTACATGTATATATTTTGTAATCCAAATGAGAATAGTTTGTAATCCAAGTGATAATATACAAATGTATATATTCTCACTGATTACAAACCCTAACATTCTAATTTTAATTTCACCAAGTGAAGTGCAAGAATCCAAATTATTGAAGTCCACCTTATCACAACCCGCACACCCGATTACCTAAATATACATGAAGTTATGGTTAAAGCTCAACAGCTGGCCTCTGTAGCTCAGTTGGTTAGAGTGCTGCACCGGAATCGCAGGGCCGTAGGTTCAATTCCTACCAGAGGACCTTGTGCTGCATTTTTCGCAGTCGTTCCTGGTTAGGTCTTAAAATGTATATATTCTCACTTGGATTACAAACCCTAACATTCTAATATTAAATCCACCAAGTGAAGTGCAAGAATCCAAATTATTGAAGTCCACCTTATCATAACCCGCACACCAGATTACTTAAATATACATGAACTTACGGTAAAGCTCAACATCTGGCCTCTGTAGCTCAGTTGGCTAGAGTGCTGCACCAGAATCGCAGGACCGTAGGTTCAATTCCTACCAGAGAACCTTGTGCTGCATTTTTCGCAGTCGTTCCTGGTTAGGTCTTAAAATGTATATATTCTCACTTGGATTACAAACCCTAAGAAGAAGAAGAAGAAGTATTTATTTATCCCTTTTTTTAAAATCTATTTACCTATTAAATTTTAATTTTGTAGGGTTTCTGGTCACCAGAAATAACCGTATAGGGTTAAAAATGCCTGGCGACCAGACATTCTAACATTTGAAATTAAGGATTTGGAGGTTTTGCGATCACTGATAACTTGATAATAATATAAAACAAAACACTTCTATCTGCAACTTTTACAATCACTGATAACTTGGTATTTCCAACCACCCATGTATTTTTCTGTTTATTATATAAAGGACAGTCTTAAATGAAAAGCGATAATATTTACAGAAAAGTGATAATTGAAAAGGCGATAATTTTCACATGTGAGATTATCATGAATAATTTCGCATGTGAGATTATCATTTTTATCAGTGCTCGAAATCTCTGTAAAACAATATACTTTATATAATAAAAATTCATAAATTTGAACCATGCTAGAGCATGACAACAGCAAAATGCTCTATAGTATGATGCACAATATTTTGGGAGGTGAAATACACAAACAATAAATCAGAGAGTGTTTGCTTGGAACTCATTTGGGGGGGGGGGGTGCAACACCCCTGATAATTGCTCATGAGGAATTTCAGGTAGATTTCCAGTGCACTTTTAGGTAAATTTAAGTAGATTTGCAGGAGATTTTCAGGGGAATTCAGGTAATTCTCAGGACATGAGAAAGTGAATTTGGAAAACAACTGTATTTTCGGTAAAATTATTATATGTCCTGAAACATTTTTGTACATCTGGAAACATTTTGGTAACCCCCCCCCTCTATCTAACCTCCCCCCCCCCCCTCAGACGAAGTGCTCGCAACGGCACTGAGTATACATCTTTTGAAAACAGGCGAGGGGTTATTGCATGCATCTATTTCTACTTTTGTAATTGATTGAGCTACGCAAGTAAATACAAACTCCACCACCATTCCTTGATCTATTTTTCCTGACAATATCGTAGCCATCTAGGTTAATCATGTTATCTGTTATATTTGCATCAAGTCATGTCTCATTGAAGGGAAACAGATCAATTCACTTATTTGACATTGAAAAATTAATTTCATCTATTTTTTTAGGTAAACTAACAATATTCAGAAAAGCCATTTTAAAACCTCCTGCACTTGGGATTGAGCTAAGGTTTCCCATAAAATCACTGCTGACATTGGTGCATTGTATCCTGGTAAATCTAATCTACTTTCTGTTTCAACATTTGCTTTACATGAGCCAGATTTCTGGCGACCATGACTTAGACAAAAAGAATGATTTTCCTTATGACTTTAAGCCATTCTTGTACTATTAATTCTACCGGATTTCAAGTAAGTGCAGAATGCACTTCCCAAGGCTTTATATCACCTTCATCCAGGTTGGAATCTGTGAAAATTTTACGCCGGAGGTTACGCCAACTGGACACCGACTAATTACGCCACATCCGGAATTAACTACGAATTTAATGCAAACATAAATGGCCGCAAAATATCACCTGACCAGTCAGCAGTCAAGGACTTAAATCCAAGTCAGTTGAAGAGTACCATTTCTAATAAATATCCAAAAAGCTAAATATCTTAAAATATTACAAGATACCTGTAAATATAATCAGTTTCCCAAGTATCAAGATGTATAAGTAAATAATTTGGTGTTATTTTTCATCAGAAGATTCTTCAATCTTCATAATTTACGAATTTTACAGACTTTAACGCCCCGCTGATGATCAGATGATCATTCATTTGCTCCGCTCGCCCGCCGATGGCGTAAATTATCAATAAATTTTACGCCGGAGATATCCAGCGTAACACGCACAGATTCCAACCTGGACCTTCATGATTTAAATGGCAATTTGATCTATTTAATAAAGATCTGTCTATGCAACTATTATCAATATAGGTTATTTCATGTTTAGTCTACACAGTTGGAAAAAGTTCACTAAAGTCAGATGCGCGCAACATTTGCGAAAACGTTCAGTAACCTATGTACTTTAACGTTCTCTGGTACATCTAGCACTAACATTATTTAAAATGTTACCATTTTTAAAGTAGGAAA